AGAGAGAGAGAGAGAGAAGAGAGAGAGAGAGAGAGAAAGAGAGAGAGAGAGAGAGAATTTGTGATTACTCATCTAAATACTAATCCAACAAAGACAGGGAGGTGGTAGAGAGAGAAGAAGAGTTGCAGATAGTGAAGAAGTCTAGAGAGAGATTTGGGCCTCTTTTACAAAAATTCCACACCAATGTGGGTTTTCTTCCATGATAACAAAAGCCCAACTTTCTCCACGTCACAAATTTCTCTTCTCATATGTATATAACATAGAGAGAGCTCGGACTTCGGACTATAAGAAAAATGGAAGATTTGTATGCAATATTAGACTTATTTTGATCGCTTCGGATAAAGGTTTCATTTCCAGGCAATGTAATTTTGTTCAGAATGGCTGAGATATTGAATAGCGGCTTCAGAAATGGTGTAAATTCATCATTTTCCCATCTCTATTCTCTCTCTACAAGCCATAAATTGAGAATTCCTCCATATTTTCGCGGATGTAAAGTGGGTTTTCTTGGAAACAGAGGTATGGGCGGATCCCAAAAAAGAATAATTTTTGTGGATGAAGTTAGAGTCACAAAATTCACCAGTTTTAAGGAATTCAATGGGTGGGTTTCTCAGTGTAGTTTTGCTCCTGTGAATTATTCAATAAGGGCTATTTATATCGAATCATCCGAGCTAAACTCAATAGAATCAAAAGCAAAAATACCACCTTGGGGTGTTAAATTCATCACTGAAGACAAAAATGTTGATTCTACTTCAGTTTTTGGGTCTAATCATGATTCAAAGAGGCCTCATCCTGACATGAGCAAACCCACTTCAAGTTCTGATTCAAAAGTGCAACAGAATGAGTTAAAGATGCATTTCTTAGAGGAAACAAATGAAGAAAGTTTGTCGAAAAGGATCTTGGTACTAAGCAGATCAAACAAGATCAACAGTGCTTTAGAATTGTATATGTCAATGGAGATGTCATCTCTTCAACCAAACTTGCATTCTTGTAACTCTCTTATATCTTGTCTTTTGAGAAATAATAGGCTTGATGATGCTCTAAAGATGTTTGATACAATGAAGAAGAAGAGAGTGGTTTCAGGCCATACATACAGCTTGATATTTAAGGCAATTTCCTTTTGTCAAGGTTGGGAGAGAGCTTTGAAAATGTTCAATGAACTGAAGACAAATGATTTTGATATAGTAGTCTATAATACTTTGATCTCTATATGTGGAAAAGAGAATCAATGGGACCAAGTACAGCTTCTTTGGAGAGGTCTTAAGCAAGATGGTCACAAAGGAACTATGGTTACTTACTCATTGTTAGTGAGTATTTTTGTAAGAAATGGGAGGCCTGAACTAGCCATTGATGCATATCATGAAATGATAGAAAATGGGTGTAAACCCAGAGAAGATGTCTTGAAAGCTATGGTTTCAGCCTGTGCACAGGAGGGGCAGTGGGCTTTGGCTCTAAGCATATTTAGGCAAATGTTGAAAGATGGATTGCACCCAAATGCTATTGCATATAATACACTGATCAATTGCTTGGGAAAAGTTGGAGAGGTTAAACTCGCTATTAAAATCTACAACCATATGAAGGCATCGGAAAATAAACCCGACACATATACATGGAATGCATTACTCAGTGCACTATATATTGCAGGTCAATATGATGATGCTCTTTTGCTGTTCGAAAGAATTGACAGTTCACAGTTGAACATTCATATATATAACTTGGCTTTGATGTCATGTAAACGGCTAGGCCTTTGGAAACAATCCTTGCAGTTGCTGTGGAAGATGGAGGCTAATGAGACTATGCCTTCAACTCTATCTTACAATCATGTTATTGGTGCTTGTGAAGTTGCAAGGAAGCCAAAAGTTGCTCTGCAAGTCTATGAACATATGCTTATGACGAAGTGTACACCGGACACATTTACTTATGTATTGCTTATTAGAGCATGTGTGGTCGGAGCTCTTTGGGATGAAGTGATGGAAATCTTAAATGTAAGTTTCAAAATTTCACCATGTTCATTGCTTACTTTGCTAAGTATTTTTAAAGTAAATTTTTATCACTATTTAGAAAATCATTGAGTCTGCTCAGGACTCGCTTAAGTCGGCTAGCATTGGGGGACCTGCAGGTCCAAAGATAAGCCCTTAGAACTTGCTCTAAGTGAGCGATTTTTTTTAAAGAAATTAGCAATTTTCTTTTTTGTCTAAAATCAAATGTCAGATGTGGGATTCACCCAATTCAGACTGGGTGACTTGGGGGACCCTAGTGAGTCCCAGCCTGAGCCCATGTCCTTAAACACTGATTTCTACAATGAACCATGCAAAACTATAGTCCATAGGGTCATTACCATCTGCTGAAATGATGGACAGTGATGGAAGAGAGTGGAATCACCATTGCAATCATGTCTTGTTTGGGAGGGTCCCTTTTGATCGCCGAACATCATTTCATTGTAACCAATGGACTTTTAGGACATTTTTTTCCTTTTTGTTAAATGACTGTGACAATATATTTACTATCAAAGGAATTCTTGTAGTAAAATAACATGGTACTGAAGTTTCCTATCACACTACATATCAGTTCACTCGACTTGTTAAAATAAATCTATAAGTTGCCTTTGACATGTATTTTCTTGTCATTTTATGGGAAGATACTCACTTGAATTTCATTTCCCTAATTATTTTCCTGTTGTTGATTGTTAAATATGACATGCAGACATCTACATGAGTGCCGACCTTGTACTAGAGGTCCTCCAATTAGTTTTACACAAGTGCTCTCTGTAGATGAGTACTCTTCTTAGTGATTTATCCTTGATATGTATATTATTTGATCTTCTAGGCTTTGCTCTGTCTCTGGATTGTTGCATATGCCCAAAAACCCTCATGCTTTCCAAACATGCTTTCCAAACAAGGAAAATAGAGTTTGCTATGGCTCTTTAATATGCATATTTGTGTTCAAAGCTGATGGTTTATGTTATTTAAAAATGGTTTTCCTCTCTATTTGACAGCGTATCCAACCAAATGCGTCACTCTATAATGCACTCATTTATGATTTGTGCTCACAAGGAAAGATCACATCAGCAAAAATGATGTACTCAAGGATGCGTGCGTATGGGCTCAACCCTGATGGTCGAACAAGAGCCTTGATGCTTCAACACTTACCATCAGATTCCGTTAAGGAGTACATCAGGTATCATTCTCATCATGTTCAATGATAATCCTCATCTACTAGTGTATATCAGTGCCATAAAATTGTAGATTGAAAATGCCAAAAAGGAAAGAATAACTTTGGTACTACACAGGGTTTTGATGTGCATTTGCATATAAATCGGGTGATTTTGTATTCACAAATTTATGTTAGGTTGATATGTTGTATATCAACTTCTAACTGAAAAGTATAATGTTTTTTGAAAGGGCAACTAACTATAAAAATTGAGCTAGTGTACCATATAGATTTACATGTTCATATTTGTAAAAATCAATGGGAACATAGCGATAGAAGGAACTGTTGGTATAAGTGAGGGCGGAGGTCATAGATACATTCATAGGATTAGGATGTTAGAAGTGAAAGAAACTTTGAAAATGATGAAGATAGGAAAGGCTTTAAGACCATATAGTATCTGGATAGAGGTTCGAAAGTACATGGGGGAGATTGACATTGACTGGTTGACAAAACTATTCGACAAAGTGCTAAGAACAAAGAAAACGGCAGACGAATGGAGGAAAAATATTATGGTACCTATTTACATGAATAAAGGAGACATGCAGAATTGTGTGAACTATCGAGGGATCAAGCTTGTGAGCCATACGATGATGCTCTGGGAGAGAGTGATTGAGCAACGATTAAGGCACGAGTGTATCAAAAAACCAATTTCGTTTTATATCAAGAAGGCCAACAACCGAGGCTATTTTCCTACTCAGGCAACTGATTGAAAAGTTTAGGGCGGAGGAAAAAGACCTCCACATGGTATTTGGTCTTTATTGACCTAGAGAAAGCTTTGATAGAGTACCTCGAGATTTGATTAGGAGGGTGATGGAAAAGAAAGGAGTCTCTAAACACTACATCGACTTAGTGAAAGATATGTACGATGGAGCGCTAACTAGTGTGCGAAAGACGAGTGAGTTTTCAGTGGCGATAGGTCTACATCAAGGGTCAGCATTGAGCTCATACTTCTTTGTCTTAGTTATAAACAACTTAACTAGGCACCTGTAGGATGAGGTACCGTAGTGCATGTTATTCGCAGATGACATAGTTTTGATTGATAAGACTAGAAACAACGTTAACACAAAGTTAGAACCTTGGAGGGATGCTCTAGAATCCGAAAGTTTTAAAATTAGCCAGACTAAGAGTATATGGAACGCTAATTTAGTAGTAATAGGAGTAGAGATGAGGAAGTAGTTAAAATTGATGGCCAGGAAATAAAAAAGACCGCACTTTCGATACCTTTTGGGTCGGTAATTTAGGAAAATTGAGAGATTGAGTAAGATGTTGCACAGAGAATTAGAGCTGGGTGGGTGAAGTGAAGATGTGCAACTGGAATTTTATGTGATCGCCGCATACCAATGAAGCTGAAGAGTAAGTTCTATAGGGCAGCTGCGAGACCAGCTTTGCTTTACGGCGTAGAATGTTGGGCAGACAAATAACAATATACCCATAAAGTGAGTGTAGCGGAGATGAGGATGTTGAGATGGATGAGTGGCAAGACCAAAAGGGATAGAATCCGAAATGAATCCACTTGGGAAAGTTTAGGTGTGGTACCAATGGGAGATAAGATGAGAGATAGTAGACTTCGGTGGGTTGACCATGTGTGGAGTCAACCCAGTACAATACCTGGTAGGACGTGCGAGTTAGTTCAAGTGGAAGAATTAAAAAGGGCAAGAAGTAGGTCCAAAAGGATGAGGTTGGAAGTAGTTCGAAAGATATGGGGACTTATGGCCTCGCTGAGGGTATGGCCTTAAATAGAGCATAATGGTGAACCAAGATTTGTGTAGTCGACCCCAATTAATTGAAAAAAAGCTACGATGATGTTGATGATGATGATGTAAAACTCAAACTTCAACTGGGCTTTCAGATTTTGAAAGCCATGCCAATTATGTGATTTAAACTCCACTAAATGAGTCATGAAAAATATGAAAGGAAGATATACAAAGTCATAAGAGAGATATAATACCTTTGTATATTATTTCAATTCCATATGTATATACTGTAGAAGGAAATATTTACTTCTTTTTTTTTTTGGCGTGGTTATGATACATTTACTTTTGAAATCCATATCAAATGGCTTGCAATGGTCTTGGAGCTGTGATTCTCATCTTTAATCAATCTTCCCTTCAACATTTTACATCTTTAAGTGATCTAAATGACCTCACATCTACCGAATCATGGATATTTTGCATCAGATAAATCCTCCTAAGGGGTGCCACGCAGAGAGAGAGAGAGAAAGAGAGAGAGAGAGAGATTATGTTTGGCTTCCAACAGCATTCGAAAACTCGCCCGAGTCTGAGTGGACTTGGCAGAATAACTCGACTCAGCCCCTTGCCGAGCCCCCATTTGATACAAACTAGGGTTATTTGAAATTTTTTTTTATAGTATAGTTTTTTGTTTTTTATTTTCACAAATGTTTTTCATTTTTTCAAAGTTGTAGCCCTTTTTCAGGGCCTGTAACTACTCAGGCGAGATTCATCAGAGTTACTTAACTGGGGCAGGGCCCACGTCCGAAGACCAAGCCAAGTATTAATACCTTGGTTTCTAATGTACCCTGCTCCTTGGAGTTTATATCATAGTTACCAAGACTGGATCCAACCTGCCGGTTTGATCGGTTGGAGTAATGACTAAACTGGTTTGATTGAAAGCAAAAATCGGATATGCTAGAAAACCGGTCAATACTAATATTTAACCATTTTTTGTTAGTCAAACTATATTGTTTTGACTGGTTGGATTAATTAAATTAAGTTATGCAAATTTTTTAATATATTTTATATTTTAAATTACTTTTTTAAAAAATAAAATAAAATTCAATCCAATAAGTTCAATCAACCGTTGGACCAATTTTAACTGGACCATACCAGATCCTAAGTTCAATATCTGAAAATACTATCAAACAAAGACTTTATATAGATAGGTGAGGGGGGAAGGCCAACTAGAGAGAGACGGGGCACGTAAATAGGATACTCTCTCATTCAACATAGCTCGGTGAGGTGGTCTCTCTCTCCCATAACCTCAATATACACCTAAATCAATTGAAAATAACATAAGAGCACTTAAATAGAAATCTCTCTCTCTCTCTCTCTCTCTCTCTCTCAACTGGGGGACCTCCATACAATTTCATTATCTACTTTTATCCCCAGTAAAGTTCTCTTTTGTTAATTGAAGACCTTTTTCCACCACCAACACCTCTGTTTCTCTAGAGAAAACAACCCTGCACTAAACTGGGACCCATTGCTCACATATCAGCAACAAGTGTCAAGGACTAGGAGGCATATCCCTATGCTTCAAAGAGACATAGGAAATATTATTGATCCCCATTTCAACTTCACAGGTAGCTCTGCTGTCCCCTAGCCTCTATACATGTTTATGTTGATATTGTGATGCCATTCTTATCCTCCAAAAAACAAAAGATAAAATTTCAGGCCCCTACCAACAGATACTCAAACATAATATCTCACTGTGAATAATGGATTTATTTTCTTCAATTGAATCAATATTCATGATTTGGATTTTGAATTTAAAGGTCGTGCTTATTTTGAGGTAGTTTGATAACAAGCTATACATATTCAGCATGCTGGTTTAGAGAGAGAGAGAGAGAGAGAGAGAGAGAGGAAGTAAAGTTAAGTTAGTAGGTAGTAGTAAGGACGACTAACTTACTTCTACTGTGTGTCGTAGTAGAGACGAGAATAAAGAAAAGAAAAACGAACTAGTCGACTACTACTACG